TGACCTTTTGCGAAATGCAATCAAAGTTGTAAATAATGACGAAGTGAACATCACTGATTAGTTTTATGTTTTTATTTTTTGCTTCAAATGTTTGTGTGAAGAAATGAAAAATGCAAGCGCTACGATATTATGCTCCAACCCAATATTTCAACAACGCTCGTGGTTCTGGGACTGCCGTAAAGAACGGCTTTGCAGAAGCCGATATCTCTTGACTGAGAACATCCCGTTTCCTGGACTTGACAGACATTTAGTCGTCTACGCTCCAGCGCCGCTGCCAACTTGAAGGAGCGGCCCGTTAACGTGCCAACATTCAACGTTGCAACGCGAATCTTCCATAGCGGGACTTTTGGACTAGCCTAGTTGCCCCCCGATGCCGTTTTTGCACCGAGGACCCTCGCATACTTTTCACATTGCGAGTGCGCGTCGGCTCCCGTAGCAGACTCGAGAAGATTGAACGTCATTCATCATTATGATTTTGGTAGGCTGTCACGAAGACCTGTCGTCCGCATTCGAATTTCTGCGATCAGTTTAGCCCACAAAAGCCAACAGTTCCCGATGGCACCACTTGGAAAAACGGCCCACATCATCAATTTCCGGGATCTCATACAACCTCACATATTTTCAGATGATGTACAGCTTTCGCGTGACCCATTGGAAAGACATTGTGCCGCACGTGCCACCAGAGTTATTCGAGTTCTACTATCACCACATGTCCGAGGTAGGGTTATGTTATATCAAGCACGACTAAAGCTCAGGGATCGATATAGGGTAGATTCACATGTCGCATAGATTCTTAGATCAATTATACCGTGGATGAGTAGCAGAATTCTCAAGCACGGATATTGTGGCACCGTCGCGACTCAAACTTGCGCGTCAAAAGCGCTAAGACATTACCTCAATAGCCGCGACCTCTGCCTGGTCAGCGGCATACGCCGTGTCTGTGCCTTCTCGCACGACGTGCTCTCTCGCATATCCTCTCTCCTCGCTGCGATGTGTCTCTCTGACGTACCACAGTCAACCTTGCAGACAAAAGGAGGTCCTTAATTTTAGTGTATGTGTTGGTTCTTTTTGCTTTTTTACCCATTGGCGATCCTCGTCGTATCTCTTGTTTCATTTTTGAGCTGAACATCTACAAATTTCGACTCGGGGATATGCTTGAGCGCTCAAGAAAACTTACCGTGCTACGTCATAATAAAAATTATGACCCAAGATGATTCGTGGTTTCATACAGTGCTTTACCTCAACTTTGTTGGCTCCCTGCATTGCCGAGACCTTGTACGCTTTCGCGATTTTCAGTGTTTATTTGAAAAATACCTTCAA